GCTGGACTGCCGGGGCAGCTCAACAGGCCACGTGCAAGGGCTAGCAGGCAATCCTGCTGTACTCCTGGCTTAGTGTTTAAATAACCTTCAGAAGCAGTGGGAATTGTGGGGATGCACAGGGCACATCTGAATCTTGATAGGACGTAATAACTCAGGCAAAGGATAACAGTAATATAGCATTATAGAATTACTGGAACATGCTGCTGTCTAGTAAGTGCAGAGCAGAAGGTGAACAAGCTTGGATCTCTCTGCCAATTCAGAAATGTCTGTAATTAGATCTTATCAGTCACTTAACATCCTACTTCTCTCTATATTTTGTTTACATCAAGAAACCAATTATCCCGTTAGTAGCCAGTATATGTCAAACAAATGCAACAAAATTTAGTCCCGTATTTAAAAAGTGTTATAATTACAAATCTGAACTATTGCCAGATTTTACTAAAGGTAAATAAGAGCCCTTCTATGAATGCACCACATGCACAATGCTTCCTCTTAGAGAAATAAGGTAGCATATATAGCACAGTGAATATATAGGTGCTCTGGGATAAACTGGAGTCTTGCAACAAGCAGCAGTTGATAAGAAAAATATGCACTTATTAAGTTCAGAAATGCTGACCAGAAATATTTCTGAGCACAATACAGCAGTGCATTTAAATGTGTTTAAAATATGCAAAGAATTACAATGGTACTGATGAAAATGTTAATTTATTGTAAGTTGCATATGTTGTGCAGCTTTGAAGCATTTCTCTTCATTACTTACACCTCTGTCCAAGAGTTGATTTTAGACCCTAAATTGCTTCTTTTCAAAACATTATCAACCCCCCTAATATATGTTCAGGTTTTGACTTTCAGTCAGGGTTTTGGACAAAATCAGTCACTACAGGCAAAATACTTTTAATTGAAAACATCTGTGGCCATAAAAACCACAAGGAAACTTCCTGGACAGGCGTTTATTGAATGGCTTCTACTTTACCATCCATAACACAAGCACATAACATCTAGAGTTTCATCTGTTTCAGTCACTGAACTTGGGAATACGCGTCCCTCTCTTCTTCAAGGGATGCAATGGTTTCTGATACAGCACCCTACAGCATCACTGGAGAGGCTGTGAGCAGTGCCTCTGCACCGCCTGGGCTCTTAGTGCTTCAGTATCGGCTAGAAACTGGATTAAGGGATCTCTGGAATGTTAGCATTAAAAGATTACCATTAAAGACTCATTCTCACCCTTGGAATATAGCTTTTTCACCGTTGTAGAAACAAGGACGCATTTCTTTATTCTAATGAACAATAGGTGTACCTTAGGCAGCTGAATGATGCTAAATAGACAACCGGAGAATCTCGAGATCATTTAAATAGTCCTTTGAAAACTGTGAGGTTCGGTTACAAATGGGAAAGCTGCAGGAACAATCACCCGTGTACATTCACCCTGTACCTCGATCAAAACAAAAAGTCATATCGTAAAGTAAATAATGCAGCATTAGTAAGAGCATCTTGAAGGAGGTTTTGCAGAAGATGGAGCTATGTAATGCAATCTAACTGCATTTTGCAAGCAGGTAAAAGGATTACATGTTTACAACCCAGCATTACATTATATCCTGTTATTTTTAATGGTGAATCTAAAACTATCCAAGCAGTAGGAAAATTCACCGCAAGTACATATCATCTACAAAATCATCTGGTTCTTTACCACCTTTTAACTTTTGTAGATCTTTTCAAAGAAGAGAGATTACTTCCTAGTAACTGCTGCTCTTTGAGACTTGTCCCTGTGCAATCCCAATTAAAGGATTAAACGATGTTTCTGGAGAAGAGGTGTGAGAAGCCCTCTCTTGCTAAGATGGAGTCAGAAGGTGTACTAGCTCAGACTCGCTGTTTCTTCCCCCCTAGCTTACAGAGTCCTAAAATACAAAAAATTTGCTGTTCACAGGGATATACATGGATAGGATGAGTAAAAATCTCAGGAGAAGATAATCCTTTTCTCCTTTGCGTGCTTCCTTTCGTTCCCATTCACATGAGGCCAGCAAATGCTGCCCCCTTGGAGGTAGCAAAAGTGAACTGTATCTCCATTTTTCTATACCACATATCAGAATGGGATGCCAATGCCAACAAATGACAACAATTATCAACAGAGTCATGTTTGTATACTATTATATTTCAGGTCTAATAGTAAACCTAAGAACATGTAGGTTTTCCATTTATTCACAGCACAGATGGCAACAGCATGAGTTTTCACCACCTAGCCCAACATTTGCAATCACAATCTTCTGGAAAATCTAGGGCAATTTAAAAATGATGAAAGTTACCAGGCTCGATGCGAATATAACAGAGTTCCTCAGGAATGATTCAAAGTGGGCTGTTAAATAAGATTTAGTGCTCTTCCAATGAAATTCTGTAGGTAGGATATTACTCTCTATGAAATTTAACAAATCACGTACAATCAACAGTGATATACCAAATAGAAGCAGTCATACCAACACCCACCACAACCACTGCAAAACTGATCTGACCATCACACAGGAAATAAAGGAGGAGCCTTAAAACAATCCAAACACTGGAGACTGTGTCAGTATCGGATTGTACCAGAACTCTCTCACCCTGTCTGCTGTAAGAAATTCAAAGAAAAATCTCTACATCCATCTTAACCTTAAATCTCAAAAGGTAATGTACCATCATTTTCCATTAGCTCCAAAAAAATTATCAAACAATCTCTCATTCCAGCACTCCAATAATTTTCTTATGTTCCAAAACCCGCAGACAAGGGAATACTGGCAGATAGACAATAGTGGATTAGAGGAACTCTAAAGAGAACTTGAAGAAATCATGACCATAACTCAAGTGTGACACCCACAGACCATTTCTCCTCTTCAACCATGGTAACTACAGAAACATTAGCTCCACAGAAAAGTTAATTAACACTATAATTTGTTTGCAATAATCGATTTAAAAGATAATTTTTGGAGTAATAAATTAGTGCCCATGGATAACTTAGCCCTTTGCATTCCACACAGGATTGCTCAATATTTCAGATGTGAATACAGCTCTGTTTGAAAATAGATTAATATCAATAATTCATTCCAGACAGATATGTAAACTGTTACTAGATAAGAACTTCCAGACACTGCTCGGGTTTTCAAAATATTCATGCTACGTCTTTTCTTTTTATAAATTAGACCAGATCACCATCGATAAGCTCAATGACTGAGAAAATGCCATATCGACATAGGCGACTTTCTGCTGTAAAATACAGATTCTTAATCTTTAACACCAGTAGGGATGACGAGACTATCTAAAGTGACCTACTGTATCATGTAGGGAAGATAATTTCTACCACTTTGTCCTTTATGGAGATCAATAAGATGTTTCCTACTGATGCATAACCTCAGGAAGCCTCTGGGGCAAATGGGGTGCCTGACACAAGCGTCTAGGTTCATTCTGGGTGCCCTAGGACTACTAAAATAATCACATGGCAGAACTACAGGAGACCTCCTTCCCTCTGGTTTGGCAACTGGCAGCCCAGTGAGCCCAAGACATCTGAAACCTCTGGTTAGGCACCCCACTAACTGCCCAAGTCCCTACCTGAAGACACAATGCTATGCAGATTCTCTTGGTTGCTTTCGTTTTGTTTTTTTTTTTGTTAATAAATTCGGTTCAATTGCTCAACAGAATGTGAAATGCGTTTCAGTATCTGTCTCAGAAACATGGTGTGCAGGTTCACAATCGCCTGCTAATGCTTACTCACTATACCACCGATTTCATATCTGAAGGCTGCATTTATTCTTTTTGTTTCATCATACTGGGCATTGATATAGCACTGCTTCTCAGAATCACTGCTTTCCAGGGTACATCCTCTGTTTTTACTTATTTGTTGTTACACACATTGCCTCGTGATTGCCAAAGTTTATATACATGTTATTAGAACAGGCCCAGGCCAAAAACAGTGATGACTGCTTTATATACCTCACCTGCACTTATTAGGATTTAGAACTCCATCAAGCTAGATGATATAGCAGGTGTATCAGTAGCAATCTAATATTTACTTCAACATCCTAGATAGATAAGCATTTATTAGGATATAATAAATTTCCTAAGGCACTTTTGTACCATCCTGTAGAATTTAATAGAGAATTATATCCTTTCTAAAAATTACAATCTTATGCTTCCAAACAGAGTTAAGGAATTTTTCATTCGCTGTAACAATAAGTTTAAAAGAATAAGTGTCATAGAAATCCACTTTTTTTCTCTGCTAGTAAATTCCACAGACTTGCCCTTAAGGACTAACATTAGCACATTCTGAAATGTGCTCTGACAATTCCCTGATTTGGGCAAAGTCCATATCTTGGTTAAAAACTGGAGATTCTGATCTATTTTAGGATGTTTCTTTCTTCCAGAAGTAATTAATTTCTCCAGAGAAACACTTTTTGCAAGTTTTACAAAAGGTCTCAAAGAATGGCATTTTCACAGAAAATAGCATAGATACAATAAAACTAAATATCTTCTCTTTTGCAGCTGGCCACCTTTCCAGCTCTGTTGGCACCCAACAGGAAGTCTGCAAAACTATTCACAAAGTAAAGTACCAAACAGCAGATTTGTTTTGGGGCATGTAAATGGTGACAACTGCAAGTACAGAAGATCCCAACAGTTTCAGTTCCTTGCATGACTTAAGGTCTGGAAAATCATGGATCATCTTCAGAATTTTGTTTAAACTCATGAATGATCTTACAGCAATTATCAGATATTACAAGCTACTATTTTGGAATTTTTATGGAACAAAATAAGGGTTTAAATTTTCTGTTTCTATAGCTCAGAAAAACACTTGTAGTATACTTCTTTTGGGGCACGGACATCTCCCAGAATGATCAGTGGCTTTAGCTGATTGTAGCGATTAGAAAATGGAAATAACAGCCCAGATTTTAAAACTCTAAGGACTCAGGCTGAAATTAAGAAATTTGGCATGCCGTAACACTGTACAGCTTAGAGCATTCATTTTAAAACTGATGTCTTACCAAATACAGCCATCTGTGTTCCCTCTGGGAAAGGTGCTACCATTCTGTTTCCATTGACATGATGTTTATCTAGAAGGGGGAAAAAAAAAAAAAAAAGTCAAAATGTAATAGAATATATGCTTTGCATAAAACCAACTGGGTTTTTCTTACAGTTCCATTGAAACCTGAAGTCTGATTTATGTACAGTTCGCTAATATCCAGAACTTCACACTGAGCCTATTTTTCAAAAATACTGTCCACAAGTCCCAGGACATAAACTGAAGATGAATTTCAGTTTAGTGGTTAATATAAGGCAGCTGATACTAATGCGACACACACATACAGAGCAATATACAGTCAAAGGGGGGGCACTCTTGAGAGCAACCTCCTCATGCAAGGAGAAAAAGCAGGGAAATCATCATTCTCCTTTCCTGGTAGGACATGTTGGTGCTCAACCACAAGCTTTTTTATATGATCAAGCATGAACTATGTGCGATTTCTGCACAAGTGTGGTGGGTTGACCTTGCCTGGCTGCCAGATGCCCACCCAGCCGCTCTCCCACTCCCCCTCATCAACGGGACAGGGGGAGAAAACAAGATAGAAAAGGTTGTGGTCGAGGTAATACACAGGGAGCTCCCGTACCAATTACCATCACAGGCAGACCAGACTCAACTTGGGGAAAATTAATTTAATTTATTGCCAATTAACTTGTGTTTGGATAGTGAGAAACAAAGACAAATTAAAACTAACACCTTCCACCCACCTCCCCTTTTCCCCGGCTTAACTTCGCTCCATTCCTGACTCTGTCCTTCAGGCTCACAGGGCTGTTTCTCACACTTTTTTCCTCATTCCTCACTGCTGTGCCATGCTTTGGCCTTTCTTACATGTATTTTGCCAGAAGCAGCACCAGCGTTGCTGACAGGCTCGCAGAGCTCATCCTCACAGAGGTCGCCCCTGCAACCCACTGCCAAAACCTGGACATTTACACCCGACACAACCAGCAATCTGTTCGCTAAAATGAATATTTATCCAACACATTCTAAGGCCACATCCATTCATGACAGTTTGTCCTTTATTACAGTCACGCCTTGGGACTGTTTTAACACTACTAAATTACTGCCACTATTGGAAACCACTTTAACAGATCAAACGTAACTGCTCTTCCATTAACCAACACTTAATCAACAAGGGGAGGAGAGCACAAAAGGCAAAACAAAACCCATCGTTCAACTGTCCTCAGTGACTCGGAGTTGGCAGCCCCAGCACCTTTGAGCTCCCACCAGGTCTCCTCAATGCAGATGTTTTTCACACAGGACACCTCCTCTATTGCACGGACAAATTTCTTTCATTTTTCTTAGAGAACTTAAAGCATGACACGAAACTAGAAAAAACATATCCGCTGTTTTCATGGAAACTGAAAAATTGGTCCACTTGACATTTACTTTAGTTAAACGGTCCTTTCCTAGCCACTATGGCTACACACGCTCAGGTGAAAGACCATTTTTTCTACAGAGCAGCTGGGCTCTGGGAAATCTCCTGGTCAGCTACAGCTATCACAAGCTGCGGCTTAAGACTAAATTACACACCCTTGCACAAGTATACAGGAGAACATAATACAGGACACCTATACAAAGCATTTGCATAAAACCCAAATCAAGACCGGGACTTTCAATCTTAAGGAATACAAAGCATACAGCAAAGTGCAATATTCCTGGTGCTCATAGGGTTTATTTCTACCCAATAAAGTAGTAGAAGCCTGGCTTTACTCCCTCTGTGACAAGATGGCTCCCAGGGGCTAGAAACTGCTCAGTTTCCAAAATAAAGAATATATTCTTCACATCCCAATCTATTTCTCTTTCATCCCAATGTACTTTCTTCAGCATAAAGAAAATTCTACTCCTTGTGATAATATAGGCCTATCACTATTGTATAACCTGGGTTGTACATATAACCAGGAAGGGTTGTATTTATAACCTGGAGGACAGCTCTCCAGCCTCCAAATGAAATAATACACCCGGATCCACAACAGAATTTTCCCAATCCTTTTCACTGGCATCCCCACATTCATTTATTGAGCTACTAAGATTCATTGTCAACAACGGTGGAAATAAACAAAATTGCCTGAACTCAAATTACAGGTTTCTGTTCTCGAAATACTTTCTGGAGAGAAAGCCAAGAGATTTTCTCAGTACGTGCATTATTTTACTTCCTGTAGTACAGAACCTGGTGAGGAATAAAACAGGTCAGGTTAAGAACATGGGATTGCCTTGCGAATTCTCTGAAAGCAGTATTTTTCATTAGCAAGGAGGCACAGCACAGTATTAATCCCAGCTGGCATCAAACATTTATCAAAAGTCAGTGAGAAGGGAAAATCAGGGTTATGTGCAATTGGAGCAAGAGGTGCCATGAAGTCAATTGTTTGTATTTAGGGAGATTGAATGCCCTTCGCCACGCAAGAATGGGACTTTAGCAAGGAAATTGTTGGGAGGTTCCAAAGTGGAAGTAATATGACCGGTGCCATACAAGGTTTCAACCTCGTTAGCTATACCTTGCATTACTAACATGATCTACAGCCATCTGAGACAAGTGAACAGTCAGAAAAATTATGAAACATCATGCAAGATCAAATAATCTAACCCTGCCCTAGTCCTGATAGCTGCCTTTATTTAAAGAGTGAAAGACATATATGATGTATGAGGTAGTTATCATTTCAAATGGTGAGGCTTTCAATATATTAAAATTAAAATTAAATTTTTAGAGGTGAGATGGGCTTCAATGAAAGTAATATTTTCAGAGTTCTCAAGTTGTCATCCAATGCCTTCATTCCTTTGTTTCAAAGATCTTAGCCAGATAAAATAATTAATTTTCTTGTCTTTCATACTTGATTTTACAATTTTTCCAGTGTTCCCTGCCCTCTGCCTGGATGCTCTAAATGGTAAAACATAAAAATAAAAAATTTAAAAGGACTTTCACAAAACATACATTCAACCTTAGGAAGAAAATAACAACACATAAGTATAAAGAGCCTCTCAACAAGTACACTGTTTAAAGAACATTGCAGTTTGGGCCTTTTTACTTTTTCTCATGAAAACATAAGCTTTAATTCTCAGCTACAGATTGGATTGAGTAGCACCAGAAAATCAGAAATACCTTGGTCCCATGGAATTAGAAAAATATGAGAAAGACTTTCCCTGTAACTTGCCAACAGAAAGAATAAAGGACATTTCCAAGATCATCATCATTGCAGGCACAAGGGACTCCAATAAGATAAAAACTATTGTTACAGAGAAATGGAAGGATTATCAGCGAACACTGAACTGGCTATTAGAAGTCAACTTCAGCTTTCTAGTGGTGAAAACAACACATTTCACCCTAATACTGACCATATTTACGGGGTTAACCCTTCAGTGGACTACCATAGCATTCAGGCACTTGGAAGAGTAGAACTGGGAGGACATGGATGTCTCTGTCACTTTCTTGTTCTTCTTGATCCTCATGGTTTCAACAGAAACTCAGTGGGTAAGGAATACATTTTTATTTCTGTCCTATCGATACTCAAGCTGTCAGCATTTTCATGAATGTAACTTCACAACCAAACAACAGGGAACTTCCTCTCAAAACTGCCGAACGCTGCTCCATCCTCAACTGCAAAAATTCTCTATCATTTTTCAAACTAAGCCTGAGAGATATCTGCAACATACTTTTCTCTCTGTTGAACAAAACTAGTAAGGCACCGCTGAAAGCAACACATATCCTGGAGGTCTTGACATTCAGCTTTAGCTTCAGGCAGAGTCTGATTTAGACAGGTGCAGTGCCTGGCTTGCTCTCCTTGGATTCTGTGGCTTTTCATAGAAATAGTCCTTCACAGATCCTCTGTATCTGTGAAACAGCATAATGTATGGAAAGATAATCAGAAGTTGATGAACCGGTCCTCGCTATTTCTTCAGCGGTATTCAGTCTTTGCACTGAATAATTTGCACTATCCCTTTGCACTTTGCACTATCTCTCGGTAGTTTCTAACACAGTCCTACAATTGCCCTTTGCTAAAGGTTCACTAACTTCAAGTAAATTTCTGCCCACTCATGCATTAGGCTGTATCTGTACTAGTAAACCACTAAAATAAACAAGTCCTATCTAGAAACTATTTGAGACAGTGTTAATTAGACTAGCTGAAATCATGTTAGATCCCATCCAGGCAATTTACCAGCATGGACAATCAACTTCCAGTGCCTGGACCTGTTCTCTGGCACATTTTAATTTATTACTATATATTTCATTTATCTTCACAGTTCCGTGTATGTCGGTGATATCACACCTGTAATAGACAAATTTAACAATGAAAGATGTTCAAATGAGAAAGTTTTCTAAAAAACATTTCCTTTCAAACCAGCCTGACTTAGGTTCTGAACAGACTCACTGATCTGCTGTATGCCCAGAGGAAATTTAAAGCTCAGTTAAATAAAAACTCAGGGCCGTTAAGTTAGATTCCTAATAAATTAATTGCCACAAAATTTATAGCACTTATCAGACCTTTAACAGAATCAAACTGGTAATTATTAAAGGCTGAAGTTCGTGCATCTTTCTTAAATATGCAAAATTAAAGCACTGATCTAATGCAAAGCAGTCACTCACAGGCAAAATCTTCTCTCACAGTAGTACAGATGAAATGAAAGTTATACCAAGAATGAAATCAGCAGTGCAGAAAGTCTATACGAGGCATTTTGCATAACTGAAGATGTCCGAGAGGAACTCTACGTTAAGATACCCACAGTCATTAATGAACATGAGTTCTCTATTTGTGGACCCAACTGAAGCTGCTTAAAAAGACTTGGCTTTCAATGAATGCTGATCCCGCACTGAGTGAAAATCAGAAATTTTCTGGTCTCAAAATATTCAATCTCAAGCAATCATTGTAAAGATTTGAGGACATTTATTTTTTATTAGCAAGAGAGTCATACGTTCTTCATATTTATCTTTTGATTTTTAAACCATTAGGGAATATTTAGACTACATATCCAAACTTGTTTTATCAGAGCAGCCAGAAAGTTATTATTTTTAAATGAAAACTGAGATTCTCACATAATCAAATT